TCTGAGCTCAGTTATTGCAAAAATTGACATTTTGTGTTTATCAGGTAGTACAGTTTGATAGTCCAGTTTTCCACCCAAAAAATCCAAACTCACAATTAAGTGTTTTTTTTTAATCAACAAAACAGCTTTCTTTTGTGTGTGTGTTTTCATATGCTAAGATAAACATGCAAATTTAAAAAAAAAATTCTAGCCTCATACAAAGTTTTTTTTGTACATAATTTTGTGCAAAACTGTTGATATTAACTTTTAGAGCCGAACGTAAGGTTGACTTCGTTGCTAAAATGGAGTAGCTGAATGGAGTTACTTTCAAAAAAAAATCCAACCGGGTGAGAGCAGATTTAGAAAATCATTTTTTAGAAATTATATATTCATCTTTCAAATGTTTAGTACCCTTTTCAAGGCGTAACTGCAATTTGTGCTGTTTGTTAGTGATGTTGGGGGGATTGGGTGGCTTCTTCTCTTGGACACTTCACCTTGCTTATGTAGAGCAAAAATTTTGACAGAAGGGATTTAAATTTTAAAAGCCTCCTTTTCTTTTTGACAGCATCGATACAATTTATGCTTCGCATGCAAACTTTTTCCAAAATGGACTAATCAAAAATTTTTTGTCATTTATCTTTGTGTCTGGCAAATCTAAACTAAAATACTTGTCGTCAAACTGCAGATCTTCAAAACGAAATTCAATCTCTCCAGTTTGTGAAAAACTTGTCAAAAAGTTCATAGCTTTGGTTACAGTTTCATTGTACCTTTGAGTCACTGAAGCCTAAAGTTTATCCTTCTAGAGTTTATACTAATTTATTATATAATTAATAACCATTAAAACTCCCTTTTATGATTTTATATGCTTGATTTCAACTTAGTTTAACCAGAATTATTTCAGAGTTTTTAAAAGATTTAAAAAAAACTCTAAAAAATTCTTGAAAGCAATGCCGAGTGGGAAAATATTTCGGATTTTTGGATTTTTAACCAAGCAAACCCTTTGCTTGGTCCAATATTAAGCAAAAACTATGGCCAGACTGCGCCTAAGTTGGCTATAAGGCCAAAACGCCTAATTTCGGCTGCTCTTTAGCTGGTTTCAGAAATTTTTCAAAAAAAAAATTGTATAACCTGGAAATTTGCACCGTTACAATTATGTTGTATCGAATAATGAGTCGTCTGGGGATTAATTTGACCAATCATTAATATTAACTTAGGCTAATAGCATAATATGTAGTTTATCTGCATACCAGCTGCTAGCTACACTCGGTGTTTTTTGTGACAAAAAGCTCTTGATTAGTTTGTTTCGGATGGAACAAAATTTTTGGAACAAACATTTTTTTTTGTGTTTTTCACTGCCAAAAATGTATGAAAAAAAAAACTATTTCAGACAGTTTCCTTGTATAAAAAAACTCTGTCGCTAACCGGATTGACAATAAGTGCTTATCGTACCGTTTCATATTATGAAAAAAATGCTGATCGTACTATTTCATGGACCAAAAAAAACATACTTAAAGAAAGCTTGATAAGCATTTTTCCACACTATGAAATATTTCAATAGGCGTCTTTTCCATACAATGAAAATACCAAAAAACAGTTTTGTTTGTTTTGAAATTTTGTGTTTCATGCGAAATACTAACCCTGGACTTTTTGTCATAAGAAAACCCAGAGTGTAACTGGCAGTTACCACGCAGATAAACCGCATTTTATGATATTTGCCACCTAAGGTAAGAACATTTTTATGTGGAAACATATAACAAAAATGTAACTTTTTGAATACGGCTAGATAATTTTTGGTTTGAATCAAAAAATCGTATGAAAATCCCATGATAAGTATTTTTTTCACACAATGAAATCGTATGATAGGCATTCTTACCATTCAATGGAATTGTATGATAATGATTTTTTCCGTTCAATGGAATGGTATGAAAAAAAAACTTTTTAACGGACAAATTCTGCATAAAACTCAGTTTCTGAATGAGCAAAACAAAAAAATGAAATGAGGCAAAAACTAAACCTTTGCCCAGCCCAACGTGCCCATTTGAGCTTCCTAAATATTTTTTTGAAAATTTTTTGAACAAAAAATTTGTTTTTCGAAAAAATGATTACCATACCATTTTCATAGAATTGAAATCTTATGATAAACATCAAAAAAAGAAGAAAAATGGGGGCCAATTTGATCTAAATTAATCAGAAAGCGAAATAAACTCATTTAAACTTGCCAGACAACTTTTTGAAAAGATTTTCCTGAATAAAAAATTCAATGAAAAAAATGTTTATTATACAATTTTAAAAAATTGAAATCATCTGATAAGCTATTTTTTCCATAGAAACCATTCAAAATTTTTTTGTATGGAAATGTATGATAAGCATTTTTTAGTATGGAGGCCAACCGGGTGATAGCGCTTTAAGTACAATGCATAGTACTCCTGTATGAGAACAGGAATGTCCCAGATTCAATTCTGACTGTAAAACTATTTTTCAGAAACTGGTCAAGGAAAAAAATCTATCCAAGTCGAGTTTTTTTGTAACATCGGAAAATTAAATTACCAGTGATTCAAACAAACTAAAATTTTTTTTCAACATTGGACTTAAAGATTAGGTTTTTGACCCATTAGTTGTCCTAAAATTTAAGAAAAACCCTCAATTGCAGCATCAAAATGGAATTAATTTCAGCTTAAGAGATAAAATTTTATGTTTTCGATGCAATTTTATGCTTTCCAAATAAAAATTCAAGCTTACAAGTGTTTAAATTCAACAAAAAGCTTTTTCGATCAATTTTCTTCCTCTTTTCTAACAACTGTTTTTTTGTCTTTTCTAAATTTTGGAATAAAAAACATTGCTGGTTTCCTGTTAACTTTCTGTTGTTTTGCTTTTAGTTTGGAATTGACCTGACCATTTTTCTCTTTGTGGTTTCGTTGGTCAACATCACTACAGCACGTTTGCATTTACAAGATTTCCATATACAAGGGCCAATTATCTTGTTGAAAAGCCCTCTGGTCTCTGTGATTGAAACTCCAAAATTCCATATTTTTAACTATTGGTTTTCAAACAGAAAAGATGCTGAAGTTCAATTTAATAGATAGATGACAGTTAATTAAAATTGAGAAACTGGCTATTAATGTTATCTATTAGGAATGATTGAAAGTAGACTCTCCCAGTTTTGGAGTCAATTCAAATGTCAATTCAAATGACAATTTGGATCGTGCAAGGAAATGATATGGACCATAATGCTCACCTGATTTCAACTTGAAAAAATTTTGTGTGCAGGATAGTAATTCATTTTACGTTTTCATCAGCATGGTTAAAACATTCAAAATACTAAGTGATCAGTTAACTACGTTGATAGCGCATTTAGTATAATGCATAGTAATCCCACATGAGAACAAGAATTTTCCAGTTCCGTTTCTTACTACGAAATTATATTTCAAAAAATCGCCTGAAAAGCAAAACTATCGAAATCAAGTGTTTTCTTAATTTTTTTTTTCATTTTTTGATTTAAAGGAACAATTTTTTCACCCGTTACTTGTCCTCAGTTTAAAAAAATCTTCAATTGCAACAACAAAACAGATTTAGCTTGGGAGATAAACCAAAATGATCTCGAAACAATTGTATGCTCTCAAAATAAAGCATCACGCTTAAGAGCGTTTAAATTAAACAAAAAAGCTCTTTGATTTTTTTTCTTCTTTTCTAGTAACTGTTCTTTTTGTCTTTTTTGAATTTTAGAAATAAGCTTTGCTGGTTTCCTCTGATTTTTCTGTTGTTTTTGCTTTAGTTGCGATTGACGTGACGATATTTCTCTTTGTGGTTCCGTTTCGGTGAGAGTGAGTCAATATTACTGCAATATTATTCCACATACAGGACTTCCATCTACAGGGGCCCAATTTCTTGTTGACAGGTCCTCTGGTTCCTGTTATTGAAAACCAGAAATCCAAATTTTTTAACTTTTGGTTTTCAAACAGAAAATATGCCAAATATCACTACAATCGATAAATGGCAGTTAAGTGAAGTTGGCGCAAACGAGACCAAACTGTGCATTTTGTGAATTGCTAGCGGATTCTGCAACAAGGACGCTCCCTTTGTTTTTTTGTTCTTTACTTTACTTTGACCGTACTGACAAAATTTTAACATGCTTTAAGACTTGTCTCTGGAATCCAGGAACATACAGGCGCAAAGTTGTGCGCCTATCCAAGGCAGAGTTCGGCCTCGTAATGGGAATTGGCTATTGCTTTTCGCTAATGAGATTGATTGAGATAAAATTCTCGCAATTTTGGAGTCAGTTCAAATGTTTTTCTTAATTTATCACAAATAAAATTTGTTCTTGATTCATATTCTTGTGTGTCTTATCCTCTAAAGTAAAAGAAAAACTCTTGATGAATCGTTCGATTAGTAAAAATTGATGAATAATTCGGCTGAGTCATTTTTCAGCTATCGCGTGATAATTTCACTTATTTTGAAGATATCTCAAGGAAACTTTTGTTTTCTGGTACTTTTTTTTGTTCAATTGAATCCAAAAAATGACAACACTTTTTCTTGCCATTGATAATTTTAGCCATAATAAATTAAAGTTTGGGTGCGCCAGAACTTTAGCAAAATAAGAGATTATTTTTGTTACAACTGATTTTAAGAAACTTTTGAAGCAACTATACATAAAAATCAAACTGTAAAAGTTTCAAAAATGATCTATTTTAAAAGTCAAATCAGCAATCTCCTGGAAAATGTCACGATTACAATCCATTGTAAATCTTTCTAAAAAAACTAAAATTGACCTACATATTCAACTGCATTTGTCACAAAACTTTTATAGAAATAAGATATACTCGTTCACTTATGGTCAAACTTGGATGCGGATAAAGCCCTAAAAAATCCGATTTTGAACAAAAAGTTTTTTCAAGCAACTTAGAAGTCAATTCCAAAAAAAATCAAAAAATTGCCAGTGGAACTAAAATTAAAATTTAAAATTTCTTTTTTTTTTCAGTTGAAATGAACGATTCTTCGGCCACTTTTAGGTTTTATAAAAAAAAACATAGATTAAAAATTATTTTTCAAATGCAGCATCAAATCAGAGTTACATTTGTCTGACACTTTTTAAGCCTTCTCTCGAAGAAAATAATCAAGCTTGGCAACGTTAATCAAACAAAGGGTTTCTTTCGCATTGTCGACAATTTTGCGTTTGTCTGATTTTCGTATCTTTTTACCATCTTTAAGAAATATGTTTTGATAATTTGTCCTCTTGTTGGTCTTTTTGGTAGTTTTCGTTTTTTATTGCGACTGAACTGGCTTTATTTCTCTCCGCAATTCTCTTATTGGTTCAGAGGTCCCAAGGGTGTGTCGAAATTACTGCACGAGGATTTCCACATGCAGCTGACGCCACTTCTCTTGTTGGACGGCCCACTGGATTCTATGAATCATAACTGTTAAAATTATATTTTTTTTTCTTAGGTTTGTCAACCTTTTTATTTTCATAAATTTCGTTTTTTTTTTAATTTTTAAGTTCCAAGGTTCCTATGTATGATTATACAGGAACTGGTTAAAACTGACACCTTAAATCAATACAACCGGGGAAAAAATATGCTTTTGTAAAATACATTTTGAAATTTCTAGGCACAGCCCGTTACTATCGTCTTTAGGTGCGATATCGTTATTTCTTATATAATGCGAAATAGAATAGAATCCGAAAAGAATTCGAATTTTTGTCGACCTTTTTTTAGGTGGACCAAATCGGTTTCAGACCTCTCCCAAAGCACTAAATTTTCCCTATTGTGGCCAAAATTTCTGCGCCGCAGGCAGAACTTAAAAAAACATGCCCAAAAGGCGATTTTAGGCACTTTTTGAGAAAGTTTTACCAAAAAGTCGCGTTTTTTCGGCGCGCGCTCCCCCCTTAAAAATAGTATATATTGGCGCCGAAAAATTTTAGGGTCCGTCAGCCAAAATTGGATATCTGAAAATAGTTCGAAGGGGGGAAATAGTTCAAACCAGTTTTCGTGTAGAATGAATGTGTTGCGAGTTTTTTGCACTACATTACAGATTCTTTCTCAAAAAAAAATCAAAAATCCAAAACGAGAACGAACAGATAGCACTCTGAATTCACTAAATGTTGTCCTATTGTTTGCATAATTTATCAATGTGAACCATTTTGGATGGTTTTAAACGTGATTTTTTATTTCACTCACTCGATGAGCTACGAGTCATTTGATGTTCAAATGACTCCAAAATTTTGCTCAACCCTTGAAGTCGTTCTCTTTTGTTGTTTTCCAGAAGTGTTGGAGGAAAGTAAACCAGTCCTGAGTTAGAAGACTGTTGTGGCTGCGATGATTCGAAGAGATGTGTGTTCTCAAACTCCCCATCAGATATGGAGGGAAGATCCATCAAATCGTACCACTGAAAAAATTTGAGTGGGGATAGTTTAGTTTGAAAGTTTAAACTGTTAACATTAAAAAGACAACCCTAATGAACTTTGAGAAGGAAGTAAATATGTTTCTGATAACTTTGAGAACTAGGCAGCGGGTTTAAATTCAAACAAGTATTTTAGGCTTCACCTAAGTGCATATGTGGCGATAACTCAACTGTTTTCTACTTGCTGGTATAGTATTTATGCTTACCTCCGGTATATCTTCCGTGATAGGAAATGAGAGAGTGGACAGCTGATTTGAGGGTAGAGATGACCTTTTGCCCGAATTTCTTAAATGAGAACAAAATTTAATAACTTAAACTTTTTTATGAAATAATCACTTAAGAACAATTTGGAAAAATGATTCCGAAACCGTGAAATTTGGATAACGAATGAATCATTTCCGCAATTTTATATATTTTTGTAGTATTAAAGTTGATAACACAGGTATCTAAAAAAAGTTAGGAGCAGGATTACAATAAGTGTAATTATACACAATCGACAAGTAATTGCTTCATTAATTATCAAAAAAATGGTTTGAGGCTCACGATTTTGTTCGACTCTACGGCTCTTTTCCAACCCCCTGCTGAAGTATGCAAGAGCACTACTTCATAACTCAAGTTTAAGATAAAAATTTTTTTAAAAGTACAAGAAACACTTTTATTTCAATGCGGTACACACAGCCACTGGCTGTACGTACATTTCACTATATTTATTACGTTGACTTTGATAGCCATAAGACGTTACGTGATACCCTAAAATAATAATATAGATGTGTTATTGGATCACGACATGACCTCTACACTACATTCCCCCTGTAAAAACAATACCTAGTAAAAAATAATATATCTAATTGACCTTAGTCAATCTAAACTATGAAATTTGTCAGTTCTGTTTCATAACTACCGGACACATATGCCCCTTTTCTTCCCGTTCTTGGATAGGTTCAAAAATTATCGAGTTCCTCTAAAATTTCACGGTGGTCGTCTTCCGTCATGCTTCTGGCTGACAATTGGTCGGCAAAGCCCAAGTCATCCGTTGCAAAAGGGCCACTCGAGTCGCCGCTAACGTTGACAACGTCCGCCGTTCCCTGCATCATTGCCTTTGGCATAATTCCCTTTTTAGCAAATTTTTCATCTGCCGCTGACAGACACAGCGTATGCTCTTTTTGCTGAAAGGCTTATTCCACGAGTCAGTTAATATCGAGGTCTCGTATAACCACAGGCGTTCCTAGTTGAGCAGAATCCATGCGTTCTTCTAGTGTCATAGGTCTCACGATCGATGTAGATTTTAACGGCTCACCGGGCTCTTTGTCAGAGGTATTCCGAGCAGCGCCAACAACGTTCACCTGGCCTGCACCGGTGGCAATTAAACTTTTGAACAGCCTTTCACCCAAAAAACTTGGCAGTTTCCTCCCTCGTGAAGGCCGTGTTTTATGGCGAGTGACTGCTTTCAGTTGTCACATTCCGGTTTCTTTTTCAGCCTATAAAAGTTTTCAGCGAAGTTGTACTCACTCCCTCCACCTTGACTTCCATCGGCATAGACCTTGGTGACGACATTTCACGCCTTGTGGATTGGGATTCCTGCGTATCAATCTCCTGTGACTCGGGCTATTTAGTATCTTCCTTATCTCCACCACCTTCCTCCGCTACTGACACCACCACAGGGTTATTTGGAAGCACAGTTGTCTCCATCTGTATCGCGCTGCTATCCTCTGAGCTGGAGTATAGTACATTTGTGCCATTAGTCGGGGTGCGACGGAATCACTTGTAGCCCGTTTGTCATCACATCTGGTTTAACCTCGTCGGCTAGACTCTCTGATGCCAAAGGTTGATCCTTCGGACGACTCATTGTTGTCACTAATGGAATTGGGTGATTTGCTACCGGGCTCTCGGTAGACATAAGTCCCTCCAATGAGCTATCAAAAATTATCGGGTTCTCAGTTGGAACTACTTCTCGAGCGACTCCCCAGTTGACTCCTCTGATTAGACAAGTGCTGCAGTTCTTCGAGCATCCCAGTCCTGTTTGCCACCATTCTTAGCTATTGGGTTTTTTAAGAGCTCCGACTCCAGTATTCGCTTTCCATCTGACTGAGTACTTAAACATATCGAGAGATTAGATTTTAGCAATTTTTCCCCATTCTCGATTCATTGTCTGGTATCCCGTTTTCTTTCATTACTTTCGCGCGGAACATCTTCTTCTTGCGATCTAGGGAAAACAACTTTTTTTTCCAAGTCAATTTGTAAACCAGTGCAGTACGTGTGATCGAGTGCCAAGTTATGTTTGGCGTACGATCAAGGTACACTTCAAACGGTGGACATCCCATTGAGTGGTGTATGTTGTTCTAATGTTTCAAAGAATTTCAATTAGAGCGAATTTTAAACTTGGTTTTTGTTTCTGAAAAGAGTAAGCCTTAAGACTTTCCCAAAGAATACAAACATACATTCCAATAGACCCGTGGTCCGATGCATACCCTCGGCGATAAAATCAGTTGCGTATTATTTTGTGTAGAAAATTTTTAATCGACATAGCCACAAATCCCGAGCATTGATCATTCCTTATCACCCACGGTAGTGCATGGAGCTTTATAAAAAAAATTTTGAATTCCTTTATTACCGCCGCCGCTGTTGTTATCAGTAAATATTTATTTGCAGCCTAGGTCTGAGTCAATGAGCCCAAGAAATCAACTTGTTGTACTTAATTAGGTTCTTCTGTCAGATCTAATTTCGCAATTTTAGTACTGAGTATTACAGACCGGGTTCCTACCGGATTTACTGCAATTACCGGAGTTAATGCACTTACCGAACCGAAATTCTTACCAGATTTAACGAACTACTTGCAAATTGACGCGGTCAGTTGGATCTGACAATTCATGCGTGGCCAGCAGAAGTAGCTACATCCCCACATTCTACACAGAACCGCATGGCCATTGTGTAATCGTGACATAATAGGCGCTCGTTGCTGAGGCGGAATCAACATTTTATCTTCCATAAACAAGATGCCATTAGAAGTTGAAAATTTGGAAGCGTAATGGCAAAGTTAGGCTCCAAGACTCTGAATCGCCGTGTAATCTTTTACTAATAAAGCATCAATAAGGAATTTTAGGATCTCATCGGCTTTATTTAAGATTGAAATGAACAAAAAAAACTCCGGCCAATCGAATAGAAGTGACGGAAATAATTCCGCCGGTATTATGCGAGAAGAGTCGAAGGCTGTCGAGATGAATTCATTCCATGAACAAAATTGAATGGGATTTTTCTGGTGTTCGACCTCGGGTATTTACTAAACTGTAAATTGAATTCTCGGCCATTTCCAAAGGATTAACCAAATGGCAATTGTTACAATCATTCTGTTTGGTAGTGATTTCTAGCACAAACTCTCAGCAAATGACAATTTTTGAACGCGTCGATGAGTTTCTTCGCTGCACAATCTTTCTGATCACGAATTTGTGGTTCAGACTTCTTTTGCAGATAAACTATTTTTAACGTATTCATTTGATGCCGGTGCAAATAACCGACTAACTGCACTAACTGGCGCAACGACGAACGTATTATCCAATTGTGAAATTTTCGAGGCTTCCACGACTGGGTGGCGAGAAATGTAATCGACCAACCCCTTGTTCTTAACCGTGATATGTTCGATATCATAATCAAGTAGGAGTAATCGGTCAAACTATCAAAGTGATCTTTTTTGTGTTGTTTTCGAATTCTTTTGCTCTGACAAACAAGATAACAATGCTCTATGATCAGTAGTTATTTTGAATGATACCCCATAAAAGTTCTGATAGTGAATCACTGCCCAAACATCAGCTAACAATTCTAGCTCATTAAAATTGCATTTCAACTCATTCAAAAAACGGGAGGCGTCTGAATTAGGCTTCCATCCGTCGGGTTGGAATTGTCCTAGGGCAGCCCTTAACCCTTTTTTGAGGCATCACATTCAGCCCGTAATTTTTATTGTACGTCAAAATGATGATTCATACAATCTCTTTTACTATGTTTTTCATGATTCCAATTGTTTTGTCAAGGTTCCCTCCCCAATCAAATCTTGAGTGCTTTTTCCTTAGGTCGCGGAGAGTTTCCGTTGAGCCGCCAAGTTTTGATTAAACTTGACAAATTTGTTCATTGAGCCAATCAATGTCCTTATATCTGAAATTTTTCCTGTTTTTGTTTTCATTTTGAATATCGACTCAACTTTTTTTCCACCGTTACTGTACCTTTAGTAGATAGTTAAATCCCAACCATTCAACCTCCTTTTTCAAAATACTGCAATTACTCCATTTTACAGCTGCATGTTTCTTTCGTTCATTATGTGCAACAGTTTCCTCAATTCCCGCCAATTACGTTCCGCCGAGCCCCCGGTAAATAGCCCACCATGGACTACATAACCATTTGAAACTCATAAGGCATATCTCCTAACCCGTAGAATCCGGTAAAATTCGGTTTTGAACCTATACATTCCCTTGAACTATTACCCGCAACTATCTGAAGATTACCTTGCCGACTGGTTGCCTCACTCAGCGCCATTTGTGACTACGCATACTTTAAATCGATTTTTGAGAACCAAATCATATCCGAGATATTACCACTAATGGGTGAGGCCACACTATCGAACAGTTTGTTCAAGTTGGGCATCTGGTATCGATTTTGGTAGATTTGCGTATTAGTCAACATGTAAATTAAAACTAAATTGACCAAACGGTCTCGTTTTGTCGTTTATACCAGGGTAAGAAAAACAGTCTTCAGTGCATTTACCTAATTTTACAATATGACTTTCTTGAAGCAACCCATAACCCATTCATAGCTCTTCAATTTTTTGTATTACATGTTCTGGCATTCTTTTCCCCTTAACCTGAACTAGACGTAACGGCTTGTGAAAATTTTTTCTAACTTCGCAATTGTTCAATGCCCCTTTTTCAATCAATTAGTTCTTTGAACTCTTTCAGTATAACTTTGATATACTTACGTTTAACCAGTGAGTATTCTCCGACTGAATCCAGGGTGCTGTCCGTTCCCACTTCGTTAACGGACCCTGCTATTTTCTTCCGATAAATTTCGCTGCCCAGAGCTCTCTCTGTGATATAAAACTCGGCTTTTTTTGTTAATCAGCCTTCCAATTCAATATCCACAAGTATTCTTCCAATTATTCTAATCACGCCGTCTGTCGCATTTTAGTAAATATTTCTAATCTCCGCGGGTACCGATACATAAGCATGAAATTTATCTCATATTTTTAACTTAAGGTTTTTGTTTGCGAGATGACGATACCGGGGCGAGATGAAAGATACCGGGCTCGCAAAATCGATCTGAAGTTTTATCCGCCAACGCTTGCGTCCCATTTCGATTTCAAGCGTTTTCCTATTTTCTCTGCCCTCTTGTCCATAACCGTGTTGATACTAAAATGCCAAACTCTTCTTGGTGTTGTTGTTCAAATGTATGAATAACTTTTGTTTCGTACCGTTTAAACTCGTATGTACCGTCCACTTGATTCACTGAATTTTTCTTACAAAACCTAGCGAAATGCCCTAGCAACTGCTTTTATTGCAATTTACGTTCTTTGCTTTACAGTAATCCCTGAATTAGTTTCGAGGGATTTCCACAGATGTGACATTTGTCCAGCACCTGGTTCTTAACACCGTTAACCTGTTCTCATTCGGCGTAAATTTCACCTTGACCCAAATTATATGATCTGAATTTTTCGTTCGGTCCATTAAATCGATTCTTTAGAAATCGTGGCAATACTCCACTAAACATTTTGTACTTGAGTTCATCCCTCAGTCGAACTACAAAAAAAGTTAACGACTCCCCCGGACTCATTGTTTCCATGCACAGTTGCTTCTTCATCTCTTCGTTTTTCTTAATAAATTTAGTAAGTGTCTGTTGATAGGTTCCACAATTAATTGAAAGTCTTGTCTACAATGATTCGGTACTGATGTTACTGATTCAAAAATCTCTGTCCTTATTTCCCCAATGAAAAAAAAATTCCATTCGAATCGTTTATCCGTGTCACCCCGGGTCGATCCTTTGAATGTCTTGCGTTCGCCTTCAGCCCGCCGGTGTTCTTTATCACGCCATGCTGTTATTGCCGCTGTATTTCTCGCCTCGCGCTGTGCTCTCGCCTGTTGGTCCTCCGTTCCAATTGGCTCTTCCAATGTCGGATAAGGATTATGGGGCAACACATAGTCTTGCAATAGGTCTTCATTATCGATTTCTTCCTTAGCAATAACTATTAGCTGGAATTTCTGGATCCATTCTTCCCACGATACTGGGGCTTCCTGTGATGAGGCGGCCAAAAGACGTCCAAACCACGATAGGCCGAATCTGTATTTGAATTACGAGTGAGCACTGCTTTATAACTCAAGTTTAAGGTAAAATGTAAAACAAACAACTTTATTTCAATACTGTACACGCAGCCACTGGCTGCTTGTACATTTCACTATAACTGTAGCGTTGACCTTGATAGTCATACGACATTACGTAATACATTAAAACGGTAAAATAGACGTGTTATCGGATCATGACATGACCTCTACACTACACCACCACATTTAAAAGACGGTTGTTAAAAATAATCTTAAAAGGGCAAATTGCACTGAAACTGGGCATGGTGAACAAACTATCCGTTGTGCTCTCTTTTGTGCTTCATAACTTGCATCGTAATATCACGCATTCAGACATAATAGCATGTAAAATAACTATGAAGGAAGACATTTTGAAATAGGTGGGGGGGGGGGGGGGGGGAGGTGGTGCTGGTGTTGGAAATAAACCGGCTCTACTTTGGCTCGAACCTATTAGCATTCAAGGAAAATGATTACGCCCACCTGTAATTGGCAAGATTGTAGGGACTGGCGTCACTTCCCCCCTGAAGAATAAACATCATCTGAAGTGAGAGCAGCATTACCACTGCAGTTGAGAGGGGTGAGGGGACGACAGCTGTTGTTGAGGAGAAACGAGCCGATTTAATCGGCTGACTCTTCGATGGGTTCATTTTAAATGAGTGACGTGGTATCAAGTTGTAACTGCACTGCACGTGAAAACAATTTAAGAAAAATTATTTGAAGAAAATTAATTCAAAACGGAGTGTTCACATAAAAATTAAACCTAAATTGAGGTATTTTTTTCTAGGAAGACAAGAGTCATCTGGATTTGATGCGCCCAAATGATTAAATTTAGCAAAAACTGAACTTTCGATTGAAATTAGAACTGGAAGAAGTATTGCGAGTTGATATCGCAGAGGCCCATCGCTTTTACAGCTCTGTTTAGAATAAAAAAAGTAAGGTATGTCAATAAAATTTACTCTGTCCATGTTCATATTTTCAAAAGTGTTTTTCTTGAAGTAGTTGATCAATGATCAATAAGTTTTCGCCATCAATGTTTCAGCGTATTATAAAAGAAAACCCTTTTGCTACGAAAGTTACCGCAAATAAGGATATTTTAGGTCAGCGATTTTTTTTAAATTTTCAATTAGAATTTTTTTTATTTGTACACTTTTATCAGATCTGAGCAGATCTCTTTAACTAGCCCCCCCTCCCCTATGATTGGTACCTAATATTAAATCACCAGCCCTATACTGAAAATATTCAACGGCTAAGCATGTGCGAAATTTGTACCTTGTAACGAAGTCCCCTTTTTTGGAAAGTGGGTACCGGTTAAAAAGATCCATCTGATGAGCTATAGTGTACACAAAAGACTGGATATTAGCCAGGTACAGTCTCGAGGTAACAAGGGTGCTCTCATAGTGACACGTACAGGGTTGTAAAGTTTAAAATCTTAGTCGGCTTTCTTTTTTTCTCAGTTTTTTTATTCAAAATTATTATAAATTTGAGTATATCAAAAAGTTAGAACTGGTCCATCGATGGTCCAAGTTTTGTTTTTATAATGCCAGAATTACCTCTGACTTTAACACTCTGATGAGATTTAAGATTTTTTGAAGTAGAATTGAACGTAGACTAATGCAACTCTGGAGTTTTACTGAAAAATCACTGCAGCAGTACTGATTTGCACAGCGATAAGAGTCCAGATGAAACTGTTTTTTGATACAGAACATAAAAATATATCGAGAATGATTAGGCACAAAATAAATCCAGGTTTTCAATATGTATTTACAAAAGAATACTACAGGTTAATCTAATGTTTTCGGTCGTTTGAAATAGAAATTTTAATGTTATCAATTATCGGTAGAATTTCTAACAGGTTCCATTGTAATGCTAGCAAAGTCTGAGAGAAGTAAAATAAGTGAAATCATTTTTTAAGAAGAAAATGTCAATAAAGCTTATGCTAATTTCTCAAAAATTAGATTACTATTCGAGCTTTTTTGGAGGACTTCAATAATGCTAAATGAAAAGCTTTTTCGTGATTGTCCTGCAATTTAGAAGGCGGAAAAATAATTATAGTCAAATGGTTGCAACTAAAGGTCAATTTGGGATGTTGCGTTTAGTTTTAAGTATATTATTTCACAGCAAAATTATAATCGGGTTGTTTTGATTTAAAGCTTGGACGCCTAAACATTGTATCTAGTGATTCGGATAAAATTATCTCCGATAAAATTTTCACTGATTTTGAAATGGCCTGTTTCCTTGTTTTTTCACTCTTTTTTTGTTTTCTTGATTTGCTTGTCAAGGAGTTTTTGTTCTGCATTCAAAATAACGAATGGAATATCTAGGCACGGTGTTGGTTTTTTCTTCAAATTAGTTTCAATTTTCAAACTAATAGTTTCAAAAAATAATAGTTTCAAAATAATAGTTTTTTTTTCATAGTAGAACTTCTTTTCGAAGTTTTCAGTTTATATCATACATCATATAAAGTGTATATCCTATAACAATCGTAAAATGCTATAGCATATATATTTTATTTTGATATCCAGTTTTCTGATCAAGCCTTGTACTAACATGACTCATGCCAGTTCTAAATTGAACAAGACTCCTCGTATCAGGGCAAAACCCTGATTGTCCGACTGCCTTTTAAAGTCTATGGAGCATTTATAAAATGGAAATATGAAATGGAATTATGAAAAACAGCCTTCTTTTAACCAGTTTGGAACGATTTCTAGGACGGTTTAAACCTCCGCTTACGAGTTAATAGCGCGAAATAAATCGCGCGTTAATTATCCTAAATTGGCCAAAAAGGCATTTTTAAAACCCCCATAATTTTACAAAAAAGAATCAGAGGTAAAATATTTTTTCAAATTTAACCTCAGGACAACAATACTTTTCGAATGATAAAATAAAAATCTGACAAAATTGGTTAGTTTAAAAGTCGAAATGTGTCTGAAGAAAAAGAAACCCACCCGAGCGCAAATTTTCCGTTACTTTCGTTAGGAAAGTCGGAACAACATGGCTGCTCTTATCAAGTTAAAGTCCTGAATATTCCGACTGCCTTTCTATGGAGCAGAAATAACGTGAAACATTTAATTGTAAAAAAAAAACGAAATAAAAGTTTAAATTTGTTTTTTACAAATGAGATTTTTTGTAAGAACATCCCGCCTCACGCCATATTAAGTAGAAAATGATAGATTTTGCTTCTATTAGCAAATCAAATATCGCATATCAGCTTCTTTGAACCAATTTGGAACCATTTCTAAGACGGATTAAATCTCGCTTACACGCTAATAGAGCGAAATATATCTAGCGTTAATTGTCCCAAATTGGTCAAAATGGCCAAAATGATTATCTGTAAACCCTATAACTTTAGGAAAAAAAATCACAGGTGAAATATCTTTTCAAATTCAAGCTTAAGACAACAAAAACTTTCGAATGTTTAAAAAAATCGTCAAAAAAGGCTAGTTAAAAAGTCGAAAATTGTCTGAAGAAAAAAACCCAACCGAGCACAAATATTCCGTCACTTTCGTTACAAAAGTTGCAACAATAAGCGAAAGCTATTTTGTTGCAAAGTTGTTTTTCCTTTTTTTAATGCAGTTCTGGAAAGAAGGAAAAAAATTGCAATCAAATAGCTCACTCTTGTTCAATTTAAGAAAAACATTTTTACATATATTGATGGGCAGTCAGATAGTTTAGGTCATAGTGTTTGTCCTTTTCTTTTATTAGTTCTTTCATTTTTATAAGTTGTTCGCAAAGTTGCGTCTCAAACTATTAAAATGTCATGTAAACAGAAAAAAACGAAACAAAGTACATGTTTTTTTCTGAAGCGATATGAGATGCAAAGAAAATGTCTTGAAAGCGTGCAAACAACTAGAAAGTTTGGTGTGATGTTTGTGCTTTTCGACATGATCTGAGACTGGATTAAATTTTGATTTTAAGCAAAAACTAGTTTTGGAAGTTACAATAGCTAAGAAATAGGTGTGATATTTAGTAATTCAAAAAGGAAATGTTGTTAGTTTTATTAATTTCAAAACTCTAAAGGCTAATAACTTACCTATTTCTAATATTTTGAAGTTGTTTGTTGGAAAACGCTGGTTATATCTGATATTGTGTTGGTAATTAGGCGAAATTGTCGAACTGTTGGCAACGGAGATCGAAATTTCATTGGTTCCAGTCTATTTGAGGACACTTTTTGGGAATCTTGTTTTTTATTACAAGCCTTTGTTTAAATTAATTAGAAACAGATAAGGTATTTCTGATTAAATTTTGATTAAAAGTTTTCATTAAAATGCTCAGAGTCATCATGTAACTTCCTGTCTCGAAGGCAAAAACACACTAAAATATGATTTGTAGTGGTGACTAAAATAGTTTGGCCTACTGTTTTTGAAATCATTTTTGTAGTATTTTTACGATCATCTCTGAGTTCGTTATTTCAGTCTTTTTGATTAATTTCGGTCCGTTTATGGCGTCGCAAGAACTGATGCGCATTGATTAAAAGTAGCTTCTGGAAACAATCATGAGGGTTGATCAGTTAAAATAGGTTTTCAGCTTGAAGAGTTTGGGGGTGGCGGGGGGGGGTCAGGGGACAGGACGAGCTGCGCATGAGGAAGGGGGTAGGGAGCTTTAGTGTCCTGGTGCTCATATTTATTCTTATTACCTCATATTTACGATGAAGCGATTAAGTTTTTTTCGCTAAATGCGTACCATGAGTCACTAAAAATTGAGCCAAAAGATGCAAAAATGATGAGCTATCTCGAACTTAAAAAAGGAAAAAAATCCAGGAAAAAAGTGGTTTTGGCGAAACTAGTATGCCTGATATTGGTTCAACTTAATTACATACATACCTGTTTTCGAATCTTCGCCATCCCTTATTTCAAACTCAGGTGCTGCCCCACTGCTTAAATAAATGTAACTACTGCTTAATTAAACTCATGTTTTATAGTCTCGTTAACCTTTTGCGCCGTTGATTTAGTCGCACCTGCAGTTTTTAATACCTGATTTTCTCAAGCAATCAATTAATTTTATAGCATTTGTCCTTATGTGACGAACCTTTTTAGAGACTGGGAAAATGGGTTTCGCCATTCCCTCAACTCCTTATGACCCAAAAAGGAAACTCTACCGCTCTGAAGGACTTTTTATCGGCTAGGTATACAAAACTACCATTCTAAAGTTTTTTTTCGCAAACGGACTGGAATTAGTTAAAAATGTTTGTTATCAAGTTAAACATATCGTAATATTACCTAGTTAAGTAAAAAAAAACTACTGTAATGATGTTGTATGCGCCTTTTTTATTTCAACAACTTGTCCTGAAATGTCAGATAAGCTTCAACTATCAAACTACAAAAAGTTAACTGGATACTTTAAGTCAGTTTAAGCTATTTCATGCGATTGTGAAAGTTTTTTTTTGAATATGTCAACAATAGTCTCACATTGAAATCTTCAGTTTACTATTCTGCTGTGTTTCGGGGCTTATGCAATTATCAATATTTAAAAGAGACTAAATATGTTTCGGGTTTTAGAACTGACATTTTCAGTATCCATGGGCATCTGAAAATCAGTGATTTCAATTTGTTTTCCCAAAAGTTTTCGACTTTGGACTTAGTGCCGCAAGAGTGGCAGATCGACGGGGTTCAGATATCGAAAGTCGCAACAGAATCTTAATTGATCCCTATTCTTTTTAGCCATCACTACATCACACGCACACGATGATTTGGATGGTTCTATCAGGTCATACTCTAGAAGGACATAGTTCGAGAATCGCTCCCAAACTGCAATGCAATGAATCCGATTTCATTCTAGTCTTATCTTTGAAGTCGAATTGGTTCGTTCGAAATTAGAGCTAAGCGCTGACAAATTTGGTACGAACTTAACATAAAGTTGTATTGACCCAAGAATGAGCTGAGTTCGGATATGGTCTTAGGGATGGGGAGATTCTTGGCCTTCAGTCTCCATTTTCTTCATTTCTTTAATTACCACTGCAATTAAAAGGAGGGAAACTCTACTGCCTTTGGGTTGAATCGGTTTAAAGGGGTAGTGAAAATGAGTAAGTTTTTGGATATTCTGTTTTTTCCCGATTCTATAGTAAGCTTTTCAAAACTGTTTTAAAAAATTTTGATCCGGTTAAAAAAATTTGATAATTTCGACCAAATGGTTTCTTGACCGACAGTACAATATGGCTTGGGAGGTTTTTTCTGTTTGATTTCTGTCCTTTTTTTTAAAGAAAAATTATCGTTCCATAAGATAAATTTTTTTTGGGTCTTCCAATAATAAATATGGCGATGCTTCATAATTCAATCAATTGGAATGATTTATTACGACAATTTAATCAAATTTGATGATCAGGTCGTCCGTGAAGCCGCAATACAAACATTAAATTGTTTTTCCACAGAGTATTTTCAAATTTTTATTTCTAAGCTAAGATCAAGAAGAACATTTTCTTCAAAGAAGCTATCCGCGCTTGCTCGTTGTCTGGAAAATTACTACTTAATCTTTACCGTCCAATGTTTCAAACCAATTTGATCTGAAACAGTTCTTACACTGAGTACAGATGAATTGTCATTGTCGCTTTGACCGTTAGCAAAATTTCTTCAAGTTTTTCACAAATGATTTCGTTTGCTGAACATAAATTTAAAGGAGACCCGATAAATGAGTTCCCACACTTTCTACAAAAAGCGCTTTTCTCGATATAAAGACTCGATTCCTTTTTCGCATGAATTTGCACATTGAAAATGAAAGTCTAGCGCAACTTTTTGGGGCTTCTGCCCTTCTCATCGCGTTGGACTTTCTTTTCTTTTCTTCGTTTATCCACTTTTCTTCTGTGGCTTGCTATACTATCATCTTGTTCATATTCCTGTTTTCTTGACCGAATACCTAGTGTAATTTCTGTTTCTGGGGCCTCAGGTCCGCTAATGCCATAGATATCCAGGTTTTCTTTCGCGATAATCGCCAATTGAACTTGATCGCTTCTTTTTGTCCAGGTAATTGGCGGCTCCGCGGTGTGATTTGGCCAGAAAGAAGGAATTGAATGCATGTTTGACTCGGTTGACTGCAGAATATTAAAATGTTGAGGTTTTCTATCCAACAATATATAATCTATATACACCTAAACAGAGGGAAAAAAGATATACGTTGAACTTAAAATGTCGACTCCGAAACTATCACAGTGAGCGATCGAGCGATGGTCGATTCATGACAGAGATTGAGAGGTATCTAATCGAAATCGATGGTCATGATATAAAAGCTTAAAACTAATCACGAATCATCCCCTGAAACATTTTTTAAAAATTTTTGTCTCCCATCTAGCAGCAAGTTATGTGGAAACAATAAGCTTGCATCAACTTATTATAAAAACTTCTGAGCCCGTTTCACTTGTCACCCATATCCGGCCTTAGGGTAAATCTAAAGGCCATAGTTAACCCAAATCAAACAAAAGGAATTAATCATAGAGATCGATCTGAATCTAATGAGACTCAGCTATACGCTAACAAATTATATCGTGGCAAAACCCAGAATGTTCTGACTTCACTTTAACTGGTCTGGAAAACTCTTCAGTAGCTGAAATATTGACAATAAACCTTGAAATTAAAGCTGATAACATTAAATGCTAAGTTTTTAAAATTGAGTTGGATATGGAATTAATTGGACCAATAAGTAACAGTTCTCGATTCAATTTAGGTTAACTATTTTTTCCACAGATAATTCACCACACATAAATGGTTCGTGTTTATGTATAAAATTTCCTATCAAAGTACAAAACGAGTAGTTTATTTAACTCGTTCAGCTTTAAAACAAAGGTATGCGGGTCCGCCTGAGCTCAGGAAGGTCCAGAAATTGATTCACGAAGTCAAAAACTGTTGTGAAAATTAATCTGAATAAAATACAATCACTCTAAGCTTACATAATCCAATTGCTTCTGCGAAAATTGGACTATTAACTCAACAATTAATAACCGAAATTGTTATTTATCCTGTTATCTTTTTAAGGCAAAAAAATCACAGAAAGTGGAATGAAATGCCACGTTTAAATGTCATGAAAACAAATCAAAAGTCGAATTCAAAAAAATTGAATCAGCTACCATTAGGAAACGTTCCATTTTTTGTTTCAGCAATTACAATACAAAAATTTTATGTTTCCCTTTTAAAAATTGAACTCAGATGTTACATCAAAGCAGTTTCTCAAAAGCAGATATTTAGAGAGGTCAAAAAACATCCAGAAAAAAATAAAACCGACAAATTAATTTCACTTTTTTTTCTTCAAAATCGCACTATGGAAGAAGAGTCATATGATCCTGCGCGCCAAGGCACAAACAACTATCGGATAATATGTCATCAATAAACAATAAGTCTTCACTGCCCTTAAGAACTCCGGAGAACTTGTTTGAAAACTCTACTTAAGCAGACGAGACGAGACGGTTACCATCAACTTGCTTGCGTACCAATTTCTAACCATGTTAAAAATCAGTTCGCTTTCTCTACACTCTCAAAAACTTCTCCGGGAGAATTCAACTGACCAGCTATTAATTGCAACCGACTCCTCGACCTGTTTTTCTGTTTTTTTTTGCGCCAGATGAGCTCATCTCGGCCAAATCTACAATCACTGGACATGCAATTTTTATGCAACTGAATGAATTTTCTCTTCAGAATTTTTTTCATTTTCTAGGCAACTATTTAAGACAGAGGGATCAAATTTTGACACATGCTAGAAATTTTTTTTTTGAAAATACTTAACAAGTCAGATACTTGAGAAATCTTGTTTCACATAGTAAATTAGCCAGCATAGCTAGTTTTTGGGCTCTTTTCCAGTTTGCCCCCACCTTTCAAATTCAATTTTGAAAAGCTTATTTAGCGTTGTCATAATGCAATGGAATTTGGCGCGATGAACAAATCGACAATTCTGAACAGATTTGTTCTTCATACTTAACAGCGTAACATCACGCATTTAGCCGTAATAACACGTAAAACAAACATAAAAGTCGGTATTTTGAAAGGGGGAAACTGGAAAAGAGCCAGTTTTTGAAGTCTCTTTCCTGTGGTAACATTCTCGCAGAAACATAGATTTTGAATTTATGAGCTCAAACTGGTTCATTAGGAAGCTAAGCTGATGATCTTGGATTACTTTTTACGCCACCAAAAAAGCCAGACGAAGTAATTTATAGAGTTTCTTGGTCCGGCGTACCAAAGATTGTAGGTATTAGCATCCCTTGTG